CCCCTTCAACTAGCCCTCCTGTCCTTGCAGGTGATCCCATTCAGCTGCTCAAGGAGATGAGACCACTCATTTCCACCTGGAAATCCTCCCGCCTCCCCATCCTGCAAGCCACTGAGGTACCCAGCCATTCTCCCAGGGTTGCCCTGATGAGCCCTCCAGGTCCCTCCTTGTTCAGCCCCAATGTCTGTGGTGACTCAAAAAGCCTCCTTCCACCCCAAAAGCTCCCCTGGCTGCTTGCCCCATGGCCACAATTCTTCCAGCTGCGTCCCAGTGTGACACCAGTGCCTGCAGTTCAGCTTCCTACTCACCACCCAGATGTTTCTCCCCTGTGTCAACTGTTCCAGGGCTACCAGTGGTGGAGGGGGGTGAGGAGAACACACACTGCAAGATCCGAGACCGTCTCCAGGGCCTGACAGTGACTGGCATTTGCATCCAGCCTGGTGCCCCTCAGCTGCCCATCACCGTGGGGGCAAAGTCAATTCCCACATTGTGTTTGTGTCACAGAGCTGGGGCTGTAGCAGCTCAGGAAGGAGATTCCAGAGCATTCTGCTCCCTTTTCCCAAATGGGTCCTGTGCTCCAAACATTCTGCACAGCCAAATCCCTTTCCCCAGCCCAGCCTCACCCAGCTCACGGGGTCTGCAGGTAGCCAGGTCCTGTCACACGTGAAGGGAAAACAGGGCAGTGGTGGTACCTGCACTGAGGGAGGCAGGAGAGAGTGGGGGTGTCTGAGCAAGAAACGGGGCTGGGGAGCTCCAGGGATTTTTTTTCAGGGAGGGGGGGTGTTAGAAGGAAATGAATTTCTCACCCAGAACCGCTGCTTTTCCTTGTTATTTGTTTTTTGCAATGAAGATCAGCTCCCCCCTTAGCCACGGTGACAGTATGTAGGGGAAGAGCCAGGCTGGCCCTGGGTGCAAGCAGCTATTTCAGGGAAAGTGGCCTTTGCCCACCTGTCCCCAGCCAGGATGTGACAGCGTGCATCAAGGCCACCAGCACACAGTGGGGAGGCAGGATGACCTCCCCAAGACCTGCTTAGGCCTGAGGACCCTGCTCCTTCCTGCAGCTCTGCCCCCACCCCATTTTCCCTGCTCCTTTCTCCATTACTGCTGGGAAAGTGAGTCCAAAGTCACAAATTCCCTGACCCAACAACTCACACGGGGACTCTGGGCTCAAGACAGTGGCCTCACAGAGCCATGAAGCCCAGAGCAGACAGGGCAGTGGGACCACCAAGGCTGGGGTGGGGCTGGACAAGGAGTGGGGCTTGGCAAAGGGAGCATGTGCCCCACCTTGTGCGTGCTGAGCTCCCCAGGTGACCCCCAGATGCACGTTTTATGGGGACACAGGCGTTCTCAACCTGCCCCAGTGCTCAGATGTTCCCAGCTCCTGCCAGCTCCATCTTCCTCTCTGGGACTATGCTGCCCATGTCTAGTGTGAGCCTCAAAGGTGATGGGAGCTGTGCCACACACCCAGCCTGACCTCAGAGCCTCTTAGCAGGATTACCCCCACTGTGGGCACTCTGCCTTCCTTGGCATTAGCTTGTCCTCCCAGTGCCCCTGTGTGTCATCACGCACCACAAGTGTCCAGTGGACCACAGGAGTAGCTTTATGGTATGACCCATGGCCAATGGCTCTGGCAAATGCTGTCTCCACTGACTGTGGAGACCCTGAGAGCAGAGGGACAACATGGGGACTGCAGCATGTGAGAGATTTCAGGAGACACCTCAGCTCCCAGCCATGGCCTGCAAAAGACTGCTCCCTGCCTCAGTTTCCCATCCCCACCCTTCCCTGCCAGCCACCCCTAACACAAGGAGTGAGGAGGGATGTTTCTGCCCCCCCAGGGAGGCCTCAGCACACAGAGGAGGTGACAATGCCTGCACAGGTGCCCCATTCCTCTGGCATGTGGGGGGGGAACAGCTTGCTGCATCCCCAGGGGGGGCCCCTGACTGCTGCAGTGGATCGAGTCCCACAGCATCAGCCCCAAGGCAGGGCCAAGGTGGTGGGTGCAGGTGAGAGGTGTTGCCTGCACACCCATTTTATAATAGGCATAAGCAGCTCAGCAGATTTACCCCTGAGCTGAGTGTGACCCCAGCTTAAGCTGCCAGGAGAGGCCTGCCTGGGCACTGGGCACTGTGCGGGGCCACCTCTGTCACCTGCACCACCATGGCCCACCACCTTCCCTGAGGGTCTGGGGACTTGCCCCAAGACCACCCACCTCTTCCCAAGGGGCCATCTGCATGGTCAGACAGGCCAAAGGTGATGGGAGGTTTTGCCACCAGCTTTGAGGAACCCCCCATGGGTGGAAATAATGCTCAGCCAGCTCTGCCCCTCCACCCCAGCAGCTGTCAACCTCCAGATCCCCAACCCTGCTGTGTCCCACACCCCACACTTAATCTTGGCCTCCTGTTTAGGAAAGTTAAAGCAGCTCAGAGCAGGGCCAGATGATCACCCAGATTAAAGACTTAATGGTACCACCACAGCCAGCTCAGCATCTCGGCTCTGGGCTGGTGGGTCAGCGTGTCAGTGTGTCAGTGAGTCAGCACATCACTCACACGCGTGTGGACAACTTCCCCCACATATGGAAACACACATTCAACATTCACTGCAACAGGGAATGAGCCCTGTTACTGGCAAAGGAAAAACATGGTACCTGGCATCTTTGTGGGACACCTCCCTGCCCATCCCTCCCGCCCCAGCTGCACTGACTAGAGCAAAGGATGTCAGTGGAGGGATGGAGCAGGGAGGTTATAAAGACACCGTGCACATCCCTGTGTACTTACCCCAAATCAGCACCTGCAGCTCTGGGCACGTGTGTGGCAGCACATGCTCCCGGGGGCACCGACACTGATAAAGTGCCCCTTGTTGTGTCAGCAACGCACGTGGTGCTGGGGCTGTGGGAATGCCCAGAAGGCTGAGGTATCCTGCAGGTCCAAGTCAGTTTTTCCCCATAGGTGGGGATATTTTGGGGAGTGTGGGTGATGGCCATGCTGTCCCCACAGCCTGGGGGGGGGGCCACCCGCTGCGGTCGGCTGATGAAAGCTGCCCTTTGTCCGCTTGCAGGGTGCAGCACAGGGCCAAGCTGGGAAAGCAAGTGGGTTTGCCCCCAGATAAAATGGCCCCAAATTGAGCTTTGAGCAGGCTGTTGTGCAACAAGGACCCAGGCCAGCCATGTGGGATCCCAGAGGGATGAGCAAGGGGCATTGCTTCCCATTCCAGAAGCATCCCACCCCAAATTACACAGGAGAATCCCCATCACCCACCAGCTTGGGCATTGCCAGACTCTGTGACTGGCTTCTGTGGGGTTCAGACTGGGGTCACTGGGCAGTGTGTAGGGACCTGGGAGGTCAGTGAGATGTGATTAGGGTACAATCTCTGGTATTTGCAGCAGGGGCAGAAGATTCGAGGGCAGGCTGTGGTTCATCATTTGAGATCACCCCATTGGGGCCAGAGTCTCCAGAGCTGTGGTACCTTGAGCTCTGAGAGTGATCCAGGTGGAGAACAGCATCTTCAGGTTGGGATATGCCCTCCACCAGTACCTGCCCCACTGGGAAACATCTTCTTTGGTGCTCACATTACAGGCTACCCCTTTCCAGCCCCCAGCAAGGTAGTACCCAATTCCCAGCCCCAGGTCCCCCACCCACAGGGAAGAGCCCCCTGCACAGCCCTGCTCACAAAGGGTCTCAGTGTGCAACACCCCATGGCAACTCAGGGAGCCCCAGAAATACCACAGCTCCCCTCACCTCCCAGCACAGCAGAGCTGCCCACAGCTTGCAGCTCTTGTGCTGCTCCAGCCCCAGAGCCCAGCATCCTTCCCAGTCAGAGCCTGGAGTAAGGACCTTCTGGCCAAGCAGGACCATTTTCCTCCACCCCATTCACACAGGTGGTGCCAGGAGAAAGCAGTCAGAGCCTGGATGTTGTATTTCCTCCCATTTATTGGGGAAGCCACACCAAAGTAATAAAATAAATTAAAGGACAGGCTGTGTGGGTGCATTGCATACACGAGTATCAGGAAGGCAAAGGCAGAGTGGGATCTTTAATAGAGAGGTGAGTAGACAGAATAGAGCACCAAGGAGTCCCAACAGCTGCAGAAACCCCTGCCATAGAAGTAGTAGTAACTGCAAAACTAGAGATACAAAAAAAACCCCCCAAACCCCCCAAAAAATGTACCTTTAATATGGTCTTAAAGGCAAAGATTGAGTCAGACCTCCTTGTAAGGAGGCACTGGGCTGGAAGAGACCTGACTGGTGGGGTGGGCGGCAGAGAAAAGCACAAACCCCAGGGAAATGAAAGGGGAAATACACAGAGCCATGCCAGGAAGCAAAGCCACCCTTTACAGCTCCATGCCTTCCTGGGAGCAGAAGACTGTGTCTAATCATTGCAGTTTTGGGGTTCTTGAAAAAGTCGTGCCCTTCAGCCTCATCTTCCAGGCCTGTTATTTGTGCCGTATTCCACTTGTTCCCAAGAACAGACCCAAATTTGATGCAGGAAGATTTGTGGCAGTAGAGGAGAAAAGCAGGACTGCCTCCTGCCCTCCAGTTTCCCACTTGGAGGAAACACACCCAATTCCCATATCCCACTCTGCTCTTGAGGAAGCAGAGTCCCAAACTGTCACCAGACACTCTAGATGTGAACAAAGCAGGGACCCTCTCACCCCACACCCAGAGGGGAGCATGACCACCAGAGATGTGGGATCAGCTTGGGACCAGAGGAATGCTGCCATCAGGGCAGGGATGCCCAGAGTCACCAACCACCCGCAGCTCAGACTCAGGCAGTCTGATGTGGCCTTGGCTCTGTCCCATGTGTCCCCAGAGACCCCTGCCCCAGGTGCTCTCTGGAGACTACCCCTGCTCCCTCTGATGAGACCCTCTCCTTCCCAACCTTTCCAAAGGCATCCATTGCACCACAGTCTTTGACTCCAACTCAAGGGAGCTCTCTCCCCTTCCCCCCCCCCACCACCAGAGAGACAGTCCTGGAGAAGGTGGGTACCCAGCACAGCTCCCCCAGCCCTAGCTACAGCCACAGGCATCAACAATCATGTCAGGGATGTCAGTCTTGACAATGTTGCTGTTGCGATCGAAGTAGAGGACAGAGAGTGGCCGGCGTCTCGTGGGCACACAGCAAGAGTGCTCTGATGCCTGGATGTTGTTAGCTTTGACGAGGTTAAAGACAGCTGTGTGGAAAGAAGAGGCCATCCCAGGACTACCTGCCACATGTAGAGGGCACTGGCCCACACAGTAGTTTATCTGGTAGCCCTCAGGCTTAATGATCCAGTCGTTCCAACCGATGTCCCGGAAATCCACATAATAGTCCTTGCGGCAGCAGAGGTTGGAGTTCTGGCTTCAGCGGAGGGCGCGCTTGGCCACATGGTGTCCTGGCTCCCGCACGGTCGCATCAGCCACCAAGAAGGGCTGGTGGGACCTGCTGGCATTGACTATTCCCATGATATCAGCCCTGTCCCCATGGCTTTCCAGTTCCAGCCGCAGGGTCCTGCGTTCTCCCTCAAAGAACCTCTGCAGGGCGGGCATGAGGGTGAAGGCGTGCCAGCCGCTGCCCTTCGCGCTCAGGCGCCTCTCGCTCAGTAACGTGCGATTGCCCCCCACCAAATCACCTTCCCTATCAGCCAGGAAGATTCTCAGGGTGAGGCTGGTTAGAGGGTCTCGGGGAACTCGAAGGTAGAGCCAAAGCTGAGCCTGCAGGATGTGAACATCCTGGTCTTGTGTACGGCTGAACTGGAACCGCAGCCCCAAGCCAGAGGGAGATGTGGGCTCTGAGGGGAGAAAGGGATAAGGAGGTGAACACTGCAGGATGCTGGGGAAGGAAGGGGCTGCACCACCATCCTGCACATCAAGACCAGTATCTTTCAGCTTCTTCCCAGGAAAGACCTACAAACTACCCTCCCTTCCTCCACAGGGCCCTCACTCTGTCCCCATCCCTTCCTTGGGAATGCTGCCCAGAGCTGGGCAGTGTTGGAATGGGGGACTGTCCCACCCGGCCAGGGGAATGGGCACAGAAGGGGGCACCTGCTGTCACCTGGCCCTTTCCCTTTGCTGCACAGTGCAGCAGTGAGAGTGTTTCCAGACACCCTCTGTCCCCAGCTTGTCCTTGCAGCTCCCAAATCCAACTGCTGGGAATCCCAGGCACCCTGGGCTGCCCTCATCCTCCAGGAAGGGAACAGCTATGGCAGCGCTTCAGGTGGAGGGTCCCAACTGGCTGATGCAAGGAGGAAAAGAAGGGTCACCTCTCCTTCTCCCCAGCTGAGCTTTCCTGCAGAGCAGTGCCAGGAGGCCACCAGTGCACAGCAGGTGCATTAACTAATGATTTAATCACAGCCTGCGCGGCTCCAGGCACCCTCACCCAC